CCCTACAAAAGGTAAGAAGGGAGGGGGGATAGCAAGTAATGTACCCCCACCTCCACCCCCACAATCACCCACACACATACAGCACACACACACATACAGCACACACAGACATACAGCACCCACAGACATACAGCACCCATAGACATACAGCACCCACAGATATACACAGCACCCACACACATACAGCACCCACACACATACAGCACCCACAAATATACAGCACCCACATACATACACAGCACCCACACACATACAGCACCCAGAGACATACACAGCACCTACACACATACAGCACCAACACACATACAGCACCCACACACATACAGCACCCACACACATACACAGAACCAACATACATACAGCACCCTCACACACAGCACACAAACAGCTCCCTCACACACACACAGCACACTAACAGCACCCTCACAAACACAAACAGGACCCTAACAAACACACACAGCACACTACCAGTACCCTCACACACAAACAGCACATTAACAGCACCCTCACACACAGTACATTAACAGCCCCCTCACAAGCGCGCACACACAAACACCCTCACCCACATAGCACACTATCAGCACCGTCACACACAAATCACACTAACAGCACCCTCACACAGCACACACACACACATAGCAGTGTGTGTATGTGTATGTGTGTATATATATATATACATACATACATACAAATATATATGCGGCGTGTGCTTGTGCTTGTGCTTGTGCTTTAGGGTGCACACCCTAATGCAATAGGCTGCGCACGCCTATGCTATTATTATAAGTGTACCTTCCATACAAAAGAAATTATAATTTTCATACACATACAGTGATGAGATTTGAATCCATCTACTGCCGTTATGCAATCAAAATTCCACAAATAACTGGTGTAGGTTGGTGTGGCAAAGATGCCTCTGCCATGAGCTCCTGGAGAAGCCCGCTGGCTAGCCTCCTGCCCAAGGACTATGAGCCATGTAACAGACTTCTAAAAGACTTGGTTCATGTGGTTTCCCTTTATTGTTTGGGAACCGAACAAACCCACTGTGACGAAAGCAACTTCGCCACTGGTTTTTGGAGGGGCCTGTTTGCCAGCCTCCTACCCTGGGACTATGGGTAGTGATGTCCCGAACGGTTCGCTGCTGACTCATCATTGAGTAAACTTTGACCCTGTACCTCACAGGCAGCAGACACATTCCAGCCAATCAGCAGCAGACCCTCCCTCCCAGACCCTCCCACCTCCTGGACAGCTCACTAAGAATGCAGCTTCACAATGAATGTAAAATGGATGCTGTCCAGGAGGTGGGAGGGTCTGGGAGCAGTGGTGTATCCTGGTTTTGTGCTGCCCTAGGCAGGACAAAACTCAGGCACCCCCCCGCGCCACCCCCACCCGCGCAACCGCCACCCAACCTTCCCCCCTACTCCGCCTTCTAAATACACACACACATTCACTAGCTAACAGAAACACACACTCACTAACAGACACACACTCACTAACAGACACACACACTCACAGGCAAACACACACACTAACAGGAAAACACACACACTAACAGACATCCACACTAACAGACACACACACACACACACTAACACTAACATACATACACTAACATTAACATACACACTAACACTAACACACACACACACACACACACACTAACACACTAACATACACATACACACTAACAGACATCCACACACACACACACACACTAACACACACACACACTAACATACACACTAGCAGACATACACACACTCACTAGTGTTTTTTTTTATTTTTTTTATTTAACCCCCCCCAGCCTCCTTACCTTTGGTAATGCTGGGGGGGGTTCTTCCTCTCCCTGGGGTCCAGTGGCTGAGGGAAGAGCTCCCTCGGGAAGAGCTCCCTCGCCGGCCGCCCGCCCAGCGCTGCAGCCACTGCCGCCCAGCGCCCAGAATGTCTGTTAGCCGCGAGGCTAACAAGACATTTGCCCTGGGCATTTGGGGGGCGGCGTTTTTTGCCGCCCCCTGAAAAATGCCGCCCAAGGCAAATGCCTTGTTTGCCTCGCGGCTAATACGCCCCTGTCTGGGAGGGAGGGTCTGCTGCTGATTGGCTGGAATGTGTCTGCTGACTGTGAGGTACAGGGTCAACGTTTACTCAATGATGAGTCCGCGGCGAACCGTTCGCGGTGAACCGTTTGCGAATTGTTCGGCGAACCGTTCGGGACATCACTAACTATGGGCCCTGTGATAACAGAAGCTTCTCAGGGGTTTCCATAAATGGAATATTCACTATGTCCCCTGAGACAAGTTTCAAGCAAACACAACGCAAGCATGTTATTAAATTTGCTTGCGCTGTGCATAACAAATAAAGAGCCATTTTCTCATGCTAGAGCTCTTCAGCAGAGTTCTGCGCATGGTCTGCCCTGGAAGAGCATTGAACCAACATGCTCACTTTGAGATGGGGCATGCTTGTCATTGGGGATGACAAAACACACCCTATCTGACCCCGCCCCCTTTTCAGTGGGCAGCTGTGGTTAAAAAATACAGGGCCAAATTTTTTTCCCAGTCCCGGCCCTGCTATGAAATGTACTGAATTAAAATTTAACATCAGCATTTAGGTAAAAATAGCTGCTTTAGAAAATGGTTCACCTCAACTAAAGTCATTACTATTGCTATTTCAAATTAAAATCGTCTATTTTAATTTCAATTCACTACAATCCAGAGTTTAGTGAAAGACACTGTCGAGCCAGGAACAGAGACATGATAGATGACATAAAAACCAAATATACAGGGGTAAAAACATGGGGTAAATATTAAGACAAGCTTCATTGTCAACACACTACATCTCTAAAGAAGCAGTGAGCCCTCAAGCACGGCAAGCAAGAGGTCCATCTGTATCGTTCTGTAAAGAAACACTGCAAGCTCCATAACTACTACAGCAATGTAGTTGTTATTGTGCCACGAGTTCCATTGTTTAAGCAGTAAAACCACTTAGTTACATTTCATCTTGTCTGAAGTCACCCCTCGATGCATCCTCTCAACCTTCAGGAGAAGCTTCTGTTATCTCTCCTGAACTAAGCCTTGCTGTGCAATACAAGCTCATTGGCTAAGACCTTTGGCAGAAAGAGTCTGGTTGAGAGGATTATGCCATGGAAGCAGGGAGCTACACCTGGTGGTCCCCAGGTAATTGTTAAAACTTTGTTAAACAGTTTGACTACTTACATTTGGGGGTAACCGAGGCAACAAATACATGATATAACTGACCATGTTCTGATACAAGATATAACTGACCATGTTCTGATATTTGAGGGTGTTGTTATAGCATGAAAACAAATAAAGTGACAATCCCAAAGTCATCCCATCTAGCACACGCACCCCTCTTATGTAGCTCAAATATATTTAAAAAGACTAGATGACAAGCAAACTTGCACCTTTTCAACATTAGGTGGCAGCAATTAGAGGTACTTTCAATAGACTGAACAGCCTTTTTTATTCATTACCGCTAAAAGATCATCTTGTTACATTACTCTCAACTGCTTAAGCTGGAGAAAACGCACAAGAAAAATGAGAAAGGTAGGCAAGGCAACTATCAAGGTAAATGATATACCCAACACATGGAGCTTAAACTAATGCTTTCTAGGTATACAGTATAAAGGAGAGCAGTGCATTACTAATCATTAGTGTGGCTTGGTTTAATACAAGCATAGGGAAGGCAGAATTATACGAAAGTAGTCAGAAAACAAGTTGAGATGAAAAAGGAATGTAGAGATACACAGGGATGGTAAGCCAGGTCAAGGCTCATTCAAAAACCAGAAAACCAAAACAAATAAGGGATGCACTATTGGGATCACAGGGAAACCACAACAAGGCAATATCTCTAAACCTATGAGAGGTTATGAGCCCTGTAGATAGTCCTGTGTCTTTGCTGTGTACCCACCATGTATGAGTATATACTCCAGAATTTACACTAGAATTACCGGAGCCGCTGTGTCCAATATGACACTTGGCGTCTCAGAACAAAAGGATGAAGCGTGGATTGGAATGTGTTGCAGATAGTCTCAGATAATCTTACAGCAACGAAATTGATACTCACATTTGAAGTGCGCATGTTTGCTGAAAATCTCCAAAAGTTCACATCAACAAAAGTTTCATTTCTGCAATCAGCTTTCTTAAGACCAAGAACGAATTGAAACTTTTTGACCAACCTTGGATACCCATTCTTCCAATTAAGAACTCTACAGTATGTATGTAGTGGTTATGGTACCAGGAGTGCTCTGGTTCACCTATTTATAAGGAGCCAAACCATTTTAGAAAAGTAAGACTTCTTACATGAGGTTAATGGCCACCACTCCCTTCCTTCACTACAGATGATGGAGAGCCAGGATCGCCAAAGCAAGAGTAATGAAGTAAAAATTAGTAAAAAGTAATCAACTAGGCCTTACATTGCAGTGCTTAGCTGTGAAAGAGAGCCTCCGCCTTCCTGTTGAAGTATTGTATGCAAGGAGTGGCAACCGGTGAACTCCAGTTACTAAGTAAAACTGTTCTAAAATGGCTTGACTGCTTACAATGGGGCAGGCTGAGGTCTCCAGGCACTACATGGTGGTTATGACACATGGAGTGTTCCTTTAATGGAGTCCTTACAAACAGCCATGCAATTTACAGATGTACAGAAAGCTATAAGAGGCAATGAAGGTTGTGTATGCTGTGTGCACACTATAGAAGCACTTGTACAGGCAGTGGGGAGCTGGCATACTTGCAAAGCTGCATTGCTGCTAAAATTAGTGACAATCACAAGTCACTTATATGGGCTGTGATATTTGCTATAACTGATTAGTTATAGCTTAATTGCATTATAACTCCACTTACCGTAGTCAGTAAATCAATTTTTCAGGTGTAAGAATTTATTATCCCTATGCTGCAGTGGTTATGATTAACTTCAATGAAAAAATTTGATTCGGTCGAATAAATTCGTACAGAAATTTATTTTGTTCGGGTAACCTAAAATTTGTCCATAAGGCTGTCTGTCTTTGATGATTTTAACCCATGCAAATAATTTGGAAAACCATTTTGGATGAAAAAAAGAGTGCATCATAGAGCTATAAATATTATGTATATATTTTGCAGTACACTTATTTGGACAAATTCCAGTTCATTTGAAAATTAATTCACAAGTCTAGATATGATGCTCAGAGAAACCTTTTAAGTGTAGCATTTATTGACATAAAACCGTGACATCATGTAAACAGTAAATAGCTAAAGACATTCAGGATTCTATGGTACTTAGGTGGAGATTTCACTCACTTTACACCTGCTAGTAAACAGAATTTTGTAATAACTTTCTTGTCACTTTAAGAAAAAAAGATTGGGCTCTAGGAGATTGACCCTCAAATTTTCAAATCTCTGCTGCAATAAAACCATGAATTCAGGTAGATTGGCAAATGGCTTTTCTTGTGTCATAACCTATATATATATAAAATAAAAAAGAACTCTTAAAATATGTCCCCTGCTAAAACAGGATCTAGCAATTTTCTTACTTTATTTGAGAGGGTCCTACTTTTTCAGTCTGAACATGATGCTCTTTATTCAGAAAGAAGAACTGTGATTTTTTTTGAGTTGATTATTTACATTGACGTGCAGACAATATGAATTACCAGGTTCCTTATTTTAAGCTATGAATAGGCTCAGCATGTACACACTGCTAGAAACTGATGTCTGTGTATTTAAAGAGAAATATCACTATTAAAAGTGAAATCCAAACCGCTCATCCTGATTTGACCTTCTCATATAGTCCAGATTTGTACTTGTTCATACTGACCGTATTCATATTTCAGGGCTTCAGAGTTTGTTTTGTCTAGAAAATGCACCTGTCATGCTAGCATACATATAACTTACATTTTATTTTAACTGACACTTTCTGTTACTGTGATCACTACAGTAATGTCACTATTAAATGACCGATGTGACCATTTGTGTGTGCATTATGGGGAAATAGTGAAATATATTTATGGGGAAATAGCGATATATATAAATATAAACGAGGAAACAAAATTTATTATTACAATCATTGCATGGTAGCATTTTTATATATATAATAATGAACTGTATGTTCTGGCAGAAGAAATATATGGTTTATCACTAAAGTGAGAATCCAAAGTGAATATCAAATTTAAGGTTAATGTAGAATATGCCTTATTAAAGCCACAGTCCACCTGCCCTGTTTAAAGGACCACTCTAGGCACCCAGACCACTTCAGCTTAATGAAGTGGTCTGGGTGCCTGGTCCAGCTAGGGTTAACCCATTTTTTAATAAACATAGCAGTTTCAGAGAAACTGCTATGTTTACCAATGGGTTAAGCCTTCCCCCTATTCCCTCTAGTGGCTGTCTCATTGACAGCCACTAGAGGCACTTGCGTGCTTCTCACTGTGATTTTCACAGGGAGAGCACGCAAGTGTCCATAGGAAAGCATTGTAAATGCTTTCCTATGCGACGGGCTGAATGCACGCGCAGCTCTTGCCGCGCGTGCGCATTCAGCCCAGGAGGAGGATCGGAGGAGGAGAGAAGGAGGAGAGCTCCCCGCCCAGCGCTGGAAAAAGGTAAGTTTTTAACCCTTTCCAGAGCCGGGCGGGAGGGGGACCCTGAGGGTGGGGGCAAGCTCAGGGCACTATAGTGCCAGGAAAACGAGTATGTTTTCCTGGCACTATAGTGGTCCTTTAAAAGACATATGCGCTGTGTAATATTTCTTTCAGATTTGTTCTATTTCTTGACATTTAATGACATTTACAATACTTTGTCTGGGTTATTCTGTAAAGTGTGAATTGTATACAAATCAAAGTGAATGCAAAGTGAATTTAAAGTATTATGCCAGGATTTATCCAAGGATAAATGGAATCACTAGTTTTATTGGAAACAATAAAGAAAAGCAAGTAAAAGTAACTGTCAGGTTTCAAAACTGACATTTAAGACTTTTTCGTTTATTACTGGCCCTTTAAGTGAACTTCATGATTTTCTCCTCTAGTGGCCTCCCTAACCTCTAATTTATTCACTCACCTTAATAACCTCACCTGGATTAATTAATTAGGAGGCTTGATAAGTCTACTCCCGGGCACACAACAGTGCCTTGAAATTGTTAATGTATTGAGAGGTTATTTAAACCATTGTGAACCAGGTCTCTATTTTTTATTGCCAGCTGAAAAAGCCCTGTGTGGCGAAACGCGTTTTAGCTATTTTATATATATTTTTTACATTATCTTACATTTTATCAATAAAGTATTATTGGCCTATACTCTACCTTTTATCCTTGATAATACACTTTTTTTATTTTCTATTTACTATATTTTATTTATTTATTATTTTCTGGACCTGGTTATTATTACTTCACGTTCAAGAATCCCACGTGGGGATGATACCACCTATGCCATATTAGTGAGCAGTATTTCCTGCTCACTTAAATGTGAGTATTTTATACACATTTTACTCCTTTTTAAGTATCTATTCATACAGTGAGCACTATTCTGTGTTATCCTCTTCTTTCCCGAGGATTTCTGCCACGTATATACATCTACATCCCACCAGTGGGGGACCAGTACCACTGAATGCCAAGCACACCCGAGCTAGCTTTAGCTCTAATATAGGTGAGTGTGATACCTTTTTACTCTGCATTTCTACAAAGAAGCGGAAAAGACTATCTATACCATTGGAGCTTTTATCTTGTTTTCTTTTGCATATTGGCACCTGGAACAAGACGTCACATTCATTTCCCTAATCCTACAAGGACTGTTTCCTTCCCTCAAGCGGACTTGATTATTCCCTGCTTATTTTAGGACTTTTCATCTATCTTTCTTTGTATGTACTGCTATTTGTAAGTACTTACCATATCATCTACATGTATTTTACCTGTTTTATATGTAAAGATTTCAATTTTTATTGATTGCTGTATTACAATTTTTGATTTTGCTATATCTACTTTTTGGCGCGACCTAATACTCCTTTTAGATTGAAGTCTATGCTGTGATAAAGAATCTCTGTTCCTGGTAATATCCTGTATTTATCTATATTATTTCATTCTGTAGAGAACTTACCTGCAGTGCCTCATCCTGTACTCATCTGCATTTACTCATACTGAAAGGCACTAACCTGCATTACTTCATCCTGAACTTGCCTGAATTACATCTTACCAAAAGACTTTCCTTATCAGCTTCCAAGAATCCTGATTTGTGGCGTATTGCCTTCATTGGGGAATCTTAACTGCTTCAATTGCTGCATCACTGCATGATCTCGTAAGCAACCTGCATTATATTATTTTGGAATATTCCTACCTGTTTCAACCTCTGCAACTCTGTATGATCCTGTATTGTCTTATCCTAAAATATATTTACCTATAACTAGCTGCATTGCAAAGTATCCTGGAAATCCTTAACTACTTGGTATAACTTCAAGCTTGCTTGTGTACAAAAGACTTTATTCATTTACTTTCTAAATATCTTGTTTGTGGCAATATCGCCTAAACCCTGTTTTTTCTCACAAAGTATCCCGTTTGTGGCAGACTGCCCTTTATTCTTTATTTTCAGTAAATTTGTTATGTCTAATACGACAAATAAAGTTTTAACCAATAACCCTTGCAATCGTCTCCTCTCTGACCTGCTCAGGAGCATGACAGTAACACACTAACGCATTTCACCTATTTTGCAGGCTTTCTCAGAAGCCTGAGATAGCTTGCAATATGGGTGAAACGTGTTAGTGTATTACTTTTACTTGCTTTTATATATTGTTTTTTAATAAAACTAGTGATTCATTTTATCCTTGTACCTTCCTGCTTTTTAAAGTTTGGTCACCAATTTCCTTGGTAGAGAATATACCACCCATGGCGCTAAACTGAGCTGAGCACTCTGCAAGAACTACCAGTCCCAAGCCCTCAGCCACACTACACCAGAGCAGGCAGGGATGGAATCACTATACAATTGGGAATGGACAGACAGGGAGATTATACAGAGAAAGGGACAGAATAGGGGGTGTGAGGGGGGATTTGAAGAAAGTGAAGGTGTGTGTGTGGAGGGCATACAAGAAAAGGGGCAGAAGTTGGGGGATTATAAAGAAAGGGGAAGGTTTGTATCTAGTGAAAAGTCGTGTTAATAAGATTAAATGTTGGCTGCATGCTGTCTGATTATAATACAGAAGTTCAGGGGATATGAGAAAGGGGACACAAAGTGGGGAGAATATAGAGAAAGGTGAGGGTTTCAGGGTGGTTTATGAGAAAAGGGACAAAAGATGTGTGGGGGTGAATATTGAGAAAATTGAAGGTGTGGGGGGTATTAGAAAAGGGACAGCATTTTGGGGGGATTAGGAGCAACCAGAAGGTGTGGGGGCAGAATATGAGGAGAGTGATGGAAGTTGGTGATAAAATATATACAGAAGGACAGAAAGTGGGGGAGAAAATCTGTAGAGAAGTACCTCTATGGAAAGGGGGATACCACTGGAGTAAGAGACAATATGGGAAGACGTTGACCAGTACAAAGTAATAATGGGTACGTAAATGATCATGTGATATTAGAGTTTTATTGCTGTTAATATAGTGATTACATTAAGGAGCTCTGCAGAAATAAACTCTGACTTATAGTAAATTGAAAACAGAATTGCAAAATGAAGGCCAAAATAGCTTTGCCTTAAATTTGCAGTTCACATTTCAATTTTCTTCAATTCAGCGTAAAAAAAAAAAATATATATATATATATATATATATATATATATATATATAATATATACACACACCAGTTTTAAAAATGTAACCCCCCTCCCGAGATTTGTTTCTGGATCCGCCCCTTGCGCAATGTCCAGGTGACTGGCAGGAGGGGAGTAATTATGCCCCCACCCCCTGCAATGCCCATGAGACCACCTATACCATTTGGAATGAGCAAAACCATATTTGCTCTATGACAGTAAGTACATATCTTTTATTTTCATTACTTTTATCACACAGTGAGCACCATATTTGTTATTCTGTATTACCCACAGTGAGAACTTCTACCACATATACTTAAGAGTGAAAACCTTTGTGCATCCAAGAATGTGGACTGTCTCGCTACACACTTACTGGGAGTTACCAGTAAACTCCTAAAGTTACCTCTGGATTATTCCCCATTGGCCAATACAGTGAATACATAGCCACTGGCACTGGGATTATACTGCCTAGGCACTATAAGTTGGAGCTGCTATCAGCTCCACACACTGTAAGTGCAATTCCATTTCTCCTTTTTTTAAACTCAACTACTAAC